ACCATTCGCGGCATCATTCACTTCTCATACAAATCTTTATCAGGTGCACTAAATCATCAAAAGTTTTGAAAAATAACAGCACGGAGACTCCGCCCCCCTCCTTCCCTCCCTCCCCCCCACAGCAGCACCCGGAGTGAACTCACATCTTTTCAGTGGCAGCAGCTCTCTCTCTCTCTCTCTCTCGCCCACACACGCTCTCCTCCCTCGGGCGAGAAAAGAGCCTGAAGCTGCATGTGGACACAGCAGGGGGTATCGGGGGGGGGGCACACAGAAGGAGAAAACACTCCTGAGACACTTTGTTGAACGTTGAAAGTGTGAGTTTAAGAGAAGCAGTTATTTTTCGGGGGGGGGCAAAGCAAAGCAAAAGCCTTTTTTCTTCTTTTTTTAAATCTCCACAGAAACGCCGGCTTTAATAAAAATAAAAAAAAAAGATAAAAACTAAGAAAAGTGAGCAGTTATTATTAAGCTTCATATTTCATGGCTCAGCAGGACGATGAAGTCAGAGGTCGTCAGTGTGACGAGCACAGTTTGGAGGTCAGCTGTTCCATTTCTGCTTGGCGTGCGTCTTCTGCCGCGTTTGGTGATTTGGTGATGGTTCTCCTTTTCGGATGCTGTTGGGTCGTGTAAGCTGGAGGTGGCTGTTGGTTTGGGGCTCATGGGGGAGGGTGTGACGGCCGCTCTCGGGTAGTAACCTCTTTGTCCCGAGTTGATGGCACCTGGGAGCCAACGCTCGCTCCGCGCCGCAACCCAGAGGTCAACCACGGCCTGATGACCCCGCTTGGTTTATTCAAGTTATTAAAGAGAAGTTTAGTCGGCTCCTCTGTTAAATAAATGACCTTTGATCAGTTACGCTGCCTCGTTCCCTCTTTTGTCGTGACAATCAATGATCGGCAGAGAACTCGGTTACCTGGAGATCACTTCTCTTTCTGCTTTGAGGCCACGGAAGGAGGGACCAGATGTTGACATCATTTTGGGGGTGGACCCCTTGAAGGGAAGAGGTGGGGGCGTGTGTGTGTGTGAAGGGGGTCGATCGACACGGCAGATGCTTTTTGCCTGAAACCTTCTGATCAAGTCCCTGAATTGAACGTCCTCCGCCGTAAATAAAGAGTCTCCTCCGTCCTACAGGAGAAGACTTGTTGTGGTGAAGGTCACACCACACACACCAGAGCGGGTTGGTGCTGAAGCGACGCTCACACCTCCAGCTGCGTGGAGATGTGAAGCCCCGGCTGCGCTGCAGAGGAGCGGACTCTTTGAGCAGAAGACGCTCTGGTCGTCTCTGATGGACGTCGTTGGCTTTTGGTCCCTCGTCGTTTCGTAGAGTTTAGAGAAGCCGATTCTGCCGTCGGAGGGAAATGAACATCTCAACTAAAGAAAAAGACGTCCTCTTGTGGGAAATCATAGAAATCATGACTTTAACAATCGTTACGTTTATTCAATTTATTTAGTAAAGAAACTCTAAAAGGACTAAAGATGAATCCCGGATTAAAAAACAACCTCACATAACTTCTACCTGGGATCCATGTGAGAGCCCTGAGGAATCCCTGACTGACCTCTGACCTCTGAAGGGAGGGAGGGGGGGGTTCTCATCTTATTGGTGCTAATAAAAGAGGATATGAAGTTCTAGGGGGGGAAGCTGACTGGAGCAACAGCCCTACTAACTTCATGATGGCGCCCCCTGGGGGGCGAACAGGAGCGCTGCTTTGGTGCAGGGAAACACGCAACTATAACACAACGGACTTTCTGTAGGAAAACAAAACGTTTTAATCCAAAGCGGAAGGTTAGCCAAGGAAACCAATGTACTGTACAAGGGGAACTTATTTTACACCAGAATAGAAAAACAATAACAAAAACACACACATCGTGAAGAGTTGTGCGTCGAGTAACAATCACTTTACCGATCACCTTTAACCGGACAGAAGTCGAGTGTCAAAGGGACGTTTCTCCTCGACTCGTCAGCGAACAGACACACAAGAGACAGACACGGAAAGAAAAAGCTCAATGTAAAATCTCCACAATGAGAATGTAACAGGCGTCTCCATGGTAACATACAAACAGCAACAACGGTTCAATGCTCCTCAAGTCTCTCGCTCTCTCGTGGATTCTCCCAACAACAACAACAAAAAATACATTTCCCAAACAGCAATAAATACAAAAACAAATCCGACTGAGTTGTCTCTTAAGAACGGGGACTGAAGAGGAAACGGCAACGAGATGAACTCAGTCCGGTTCAGTGGGGAATAAAAAAAAAAAAAAGGTTCCACGCGGACATGAAAACAGAAGTAAAAACAAAAAGGGGGTGAAGCGTCTTAGCCTCCATCTGCACACGTCACTCGTCACCTTCAACAAACCCCTCGTCTCCTCGTCCCCCCCCCCCCGACACACTACAGCGATGACGTCATCGTAGCTCAAACAAAACGCGTGTAGTTGTGGTGTCGCCTCGCAAAGCACAACTTCCATTGAAACCATCAGCACAGGAAACCCTCCCACCTCCTCCACCATCCAGCTGAAGAACTCGTCCATACATTAAATGTGTCGTCAGGTCAAAGACGAAGCTTTTTTAAGAAAATGAAGTGAGCCGCTTTCTGATTCTGGATCAGCAGATCTACAGGAGAAAGGAATTACGACAAAAAACGCACAACATCACAGCCCCCAAATAAAGACAAAAGATTAAAAAAAGTCGTGCACAACATGAATAAACTCTACGTTTAGCTAGTGGTCAAAGTCGCGAGACAGTGGCGAGTAAAACAAGTTTCCAGAGATGACCACTTCCTGTTTATGAGGCATCATTTCATAAAGTGAGAGAGGACATGTGGATTTTCTTATATCAAGGTTATTAAACATAGATATTTCCTTCAGACTCACACACATTCACAGAAAAAAAAAAGAAAAAAATCAGAAATATTCGAAAGTATCAGAAGACAGAATTCATACGGTGAGATATTAAAGGGGAGAACGTTGAATTCTGGTCCCAGTGATATTCTCACTAACCGGGAATCATATGCAGTCAGTTCAGTTCCGTTTGAGTCGTAGTGGTTTTGCTTCTCGTCTCCGGCATAAAAAAATGTCACATTTATTGAACGGTCGGCAGCCGTTGACGTGAACGTCCGGCGGCGAGTTTCCCGCCGTCGGCTCGGCTGACAGCTGCTGTGTGTTTTCACAGTGAGGAATCAGGATTACAGAGAGATCTCCTGAGCGGGAGAGAAACACATCCTGGTCACCGAGGGGGAGTCCTGCTGAGAGGAAGGGGGGGGGGGAGAACCGTGAGTTTATAAATGAAATCCCAAAACATGACGAGACTAATAAAATGAATTGCTTTTCTGTCCCGACACATAAAGCACTAGTGGTTAAAGGTTTCGTACCTTGGAAACCTTCAGCGCTTTGTCCTTCTTGAAAGTAAAGTCGGGGTTTTTTACCACCAGGCCGTCTTTCCCCAACACACGAGCGTCCAGCGGGCTGCTCGCCTGCACGGGGAGCAAACCATTGACCTTCACTCCAACGCCGTCAGGGCGACCTACTAAGTACCACTACCACCAAGTGGTGGTCGATTACACATATCATGGTCCGTCACAATCTCAGAGCCAAGAGAGCAGAAAATACAGAAAGGTGACAAACGTGTGTCGCCAGAGAGAAAAGGGAACAACAACAACAACAACATAAAGTGCATCGGTTGCTGTCGTGGGGGGGAAGCAGAAGCAGGAAGAAGCCTTACCGCTCGCAGGTTGACGTTCTCTTTACCAGGTTTGCTTCCTGCCGCGCTCACATCGGGGGAGACGAGGCGCAGCCGCCTCTCCCCTGTCAGCTGATCACCTCGAGCTCGCCGCTGTATCGGGGGGGAAAAGGGGGGAGAGGGGGGGAAAGGCGTGCAAGTCAGAAATGGTTCTCGGTAAAATCGCCCACCGCTCCTTGGGATGCGACTCCCCGGATGTTCAGTACCTTGATGAGGCCTCCAAAGGAGCGGGAACGCGGGTGCTTCTTGCCGGGCGCCGGGGCCGCCCGCTGCTCCTCGCCGGCAGGCGTCCCTGAGGTCGCCTGCTTCACCAACTGCCCGTTGGACAAAGACAACAGTTCATGTGAAAAGGCACAGACACAAAGAGGGTTTGTCCAGACGAACAAAAGGCCGAACCTGTCGCACGAGTTTCTTCTTCTTGGCGGAGTCGGGCATGTTGTGGTGCACGTGTCTGAAGAGCTCCTTCAGCGCCTCCTCGGTGTACTGCTGAGCCGGTGATTGGTGCTGCTCCTGAGAGCCGGGGGCCCCGAGGGCCCCGAGGGCCGTCCTCTTCAGGGGCAACGCGGCCCGCTGAGCGGGGGAGCTGCTCACCGCCAGCAGCTCCAGATCGTCCTGAGCGAGGAGACGGACGGCGACAGCGCTTAGCATTCGTTAGCCGAGGGGGAGGAGTTCTCGTGTTAAAGTTTGGCTTGTTGCTAAATATCTCCCTCTCTCTTCAGAAAAGGAAAACAGTTCATGGAGATCTTCTCTTGAAACCACAATTGATTAGAAGTTGAGAGGAAAAGGGCCGCCGCCTCCCTCCACTTGCCTTGGTCTGCAGAGTCTTGGTCCCAGTGAAGTGCACTCGGGCGTATTCCCGCAGGTAGACGGGAGCCTGGACAACACGCAGCAAGTCACTCACCACTCGGTTACCCGTTAAACCCGCCACACATCATCTTTCTAGGACAAAGTCGTTTGCCGGGTTCACTGATGGTCAAACGGTTTAATTGTTCGGCCTTGTGTGTCGTCAATAATCACCCTGAAGAGTTTCTGCGAGTGCTTGATGAGGAAGGCCATGCTGCTGTTCAGCTTCTTCAGATTGTCTTTCAGGTCAGTGGCCGTCATCTGGAACGGGAGAGAGGAGCAAAAACAACAACATCGCTATGAGCTGCACCAGCGAGGACAGCAGACAGAGGACAGAACAAGGGCAGCGTCCTCTCTCCAATGTACCAGTCAGTACTGGTACTGTATGCAAAACACAAAACCATATCGATGAATAAATAGCTCTATATATATATATATATTATATATATATATTGGTTTTAGCAACACCTGCAAATATGTTGTATTTATTTTATATTGTATTTATTAAAGTATTTGGACAGTATATATATCCTGGTACGACCACTGGGGGGCAGCAAAACTTAACCTTTTCTACACACAGTGGCTTCAAGGATAATGTGTGAATATACAGGTGGCTGATTCATTATTAGTGATGCCATCCGAACATTGACATCTGCACCTCTAATCATTTTACTAAAAAAATTGTCCCGTCCCCCCCGGCGGCTGCTGTCCATCAGGACCAAGACGTACCACCACTTAAAGAGCTTCTCCTCAGCAGTTGGGCTCATAAATAAAGCCCGGGACCCCCACTGACCCTTTCTCCCCGATTTACTACGCCAAGGAATATTTTAGCACAATTCTTCCCACATCCGTTCTGCTTTTCTTTATCATCTGAACACACTGGACACTCTATTGTGGACGTGAACATTGTTCTCGTCTCTGGCCCTTGTGTCCATGTTGTAAACTAGGATCCACTAGAATCTTACATTTCTTGGCCAGACGACATGCGGCGCAAACATGAGCGCCAGGTTGGAGGCGGACATCTTGTTCTTGTCCTGCTGCCTGGCGGTGTGGTACAGCAGGTCCAGCAGCAGTTTGAGCAGCGAGCGGTTGGCCTGAGGAAGCAGCAGGAAGAGCAGCTGCAGCGCCTCTATTTGACGCTCCTTATTGGGTACCGAGGTCTTGTTGCCGTGCTCGTCAAACAGGGTCATGTCTGGAGGCGGGACAAGGGCACAGGGAGTCATGAATACATTATAATTACGCGTGATTTAAAAAACAGAAGAGAAACAAACACTCTCAGGTGTTTTTGGTATCTTCCAGCATTCGTACCGGCTATCTTGAGGTGTGCGTGGAAGTGTCTCTGTGTGAGCAGCGGCTCGGGCAGTTCTCCCAGGAAGGTCTTGAGCAGCGTGGCCACGTCATTGGGGTGGAAGTCCCCAGACTTCAGGTCCACATCGACCCCGCTGTTGAGGAGGTCCTTCAGAGTCTGCTGCCGGACACTGTTCCCTGGTACCCGAAACAGACCCTCCACGTGCAGATCTGAGTGTGAGAGGAGCAAGTAAATAAGTAAAAGTTAAATGTGTTTGCAAAGGATTGGGTGGTTCACGGTTTGAAAGCAATCATTGGTGTATTGTTTGTTCAAATCATTTTCCAGAAGATTTAGTTCGTTCTTTCTTTAAACACCAGCAAGCAGTTACCGAAGTTTGCTTCTGAGAGTCACAGTGCGGAGGATGTAAGAACATTAGTTTTCATCTATTTGAAGACTCACTTTTGCTGAGGTACTCGATGAGCTGGTAGATCTGGGCAATGCAGCTCTCTGTCAGTGGGGTTCCAAACACAACACCTTTATCTGCGACAGTGTTTGGAGAAAGGCGAGTGTTAATATTAGGTTACTGTGAAACCTGATCCATTTCTGCTATATTAGCATTACAAATGGCCACCCTCATCGCAAACAAAGAAGTGGATATTACCTATAAAAAAAACAAGAAGTATCACAATATCACAATAAAGAGCGTGTTGGTACACAAGTTCCAATAGGCTACACAAATAGCAGGTAACCACATCTCTTGGTGTGTTTTGTAAGCCTGAAATCAAATGGCAGATATCAGATTGTGTACAAAAAGAGAGAGGGTTGTTCCCGGTGATTTATAAATGTCACCTGGTTGACCTCTGACCTTTGCGTTTGAGGAAGTTGAAGGAGCGAAAGAAGCCACCATTGCCCCCCGTTGGAGTCTTCGGGCCTTCCTCTCCAAGGAGCTGTGCAAACTCTGTCCCGGGGAGATCGATAAGGCGAGTGATGTTACTCAGCACCAGTTCCAGGTAAACATCGGGGTTCTCATGGCGGAGTTTTTCCACAAAGAAGTCCGGGTTGAAGATGACCGGTGGTCGGCCAGCGCGAGAGCCCCCCGGTGACTCCTCATGATTGATCACCATACTGCACACTGTACCTCTGAGGGGGGGGGGGGCGACACAGCATACACCACATAGTAACGATTAAGTCGAGAAATTAAACAAGTTACTTCGTCGCCAGTTGGCTCATTGGGGTTTAGGGATTAGGGATCTCTGAACAACTTCGACGTGAATTCACAGGATTCACGTCAACGGGCCTGTTGATGAAACCCTCACGGCATTAGGCTTATTTTTCGAGGACTTTAGAAAGCTGCTCTGACAGCCACAAAACACAATTTAAACTCTCGTGGAAGATTGTTAGATGGCCCCTTTTAACTTCATCTTTTAACAAAGATGCAACATTTAAACACAACGCCGTCTACAACCACACAGATGAAGCAAAGGAACCTCGAGGTCTGCTAGGAAAGAAACAAGTAACCATTTCACCAACGTTAACTACGTTAACTTAAACCAGACAACGCGTAACGTAACTCAACGTAACGTCAGTTTGCCCCAACGTAAGCTAACGTTGTATCAACACAATAGCCCCCAGCTATTAAAGCTAACAGGGCGGACGTTAGCCCCTGCAAGCCGCTAATTCCCATTTACTAGTCGAAATAAGTATATTAATTACCCGCAGCACTGTGTGGACACAAAGTCCAGCTTTGTTACGCTTACACTTAGCAGCTAACGTTAGCCAACATGAGATAACCTAACGTTAGCTAACTTAGTTAGCATGTAACGACTTGAGTGACAGCTCTTGTCAATCGGTCTCGCGAGCGTAACGTCCGTTCACAAGTTTGAAATGTCTGAAGCGCTTTAGCCGCGAGTCATTCTAACACTGGTTCAAGGTAAATACTGATTCAAAATCTGTAGGCCTCTATTCGTTCTTACCTTCTTTTATGTGTGTTTTCGTCAACATCTTGACCGGCGGCCATGTTCCGTTTGAATCCTCCGCCGTTGTCCCTCAAGCACCGCCCACCTCGTCAACCATTGGTCAGTTGTCAAGCGTTGACGTGATAGGTTGGTCCGAGTCTCATGTCCCACGCTGTGATTGGTCGGTTTGAATTCCACAGGGTAGGAAAACAACAGAAACACAAAGAATTCGAAAGAAGTATGACATTAATATCACTGACACAACGGCATATGTAATTATATATGTTTATGTATAATAATATGTTTATATATATATATGTATTTTTTCATAGAAAGATATAAATGTATTATGTTCACTCTCTTTCTTCATTGGGAAAACATAATAGACTAAATGTATGAAGCAGTAACTAAAAGCGACAACGTTGCAGAACTAAAAAAAAAAAAAGGATTAGAATGCGCCACTTAATGTAATTACTAGAATTGCCCTCAAAATAACTAATTTAAATAATCTTTTGTTGATTGGAATTGTATGTGTATGTATTTACTGTATGTATGTGAACATACATCCCTCACTAAACTGGACTGAACTGATAAAAAATATTTAAACCACCATTAAATCTAATTAAATTAACAAAAAGCGGCAACCTTGAAGAGTGTTTTGATTCAACACTTTAGAACAAGTCCTCATGTTGCACGCTCTGTCCAGAGACATTACAGGTGATTAAATCTCCTGAGCGTCTGGCTCCTTCTAAACAAACTTTCAGATGCACACTTACAGTCCAATGCAATCAAACCGTTCCTCTACTTACAGTTTACTTCATTTATTTTAGTGGCCAAGTACATTTTGGGTTACATGTTTTCTCATTCAAACATGGAGACCATTTAACTGCTAAAATACATTTTATTTCTGCCGTTTGTCCTTAAATTCCATGAAGAAAGACTGGATGAGATGGTGATCAGTATTTATTAAAGGCAATTCATTGCGTTACATTTGAATAATGCAAACAAGTAATGTATCAGCATTATTAAAGCATTATGGATATTCAGCTACATGCCACTGCTTCTGATATTTCAAGGCAAGTTCATCTATAAAAGACATTTCAGCAACAATGAAATTCTTCTCTACAATGCAATTCATAATGAAAGAACATCAGAAATAAAAACAGCAAGTGAAGAGCTATGAGAATGAAATAAAAACTACAGTTTTAACTCTGAAGGGAAATACGTCCACTTGTTCCCGTCCCCGTCCAGGTGAGTCTCCCTCTGGTTTCACTGCATCTGAAGAAGATCACATGAAGTTATTCCTCAGAAATGGAAGCAGGAAGTTGTTTTGAGTGCAGCAGACTGACACCTGGCTGACCTTCACACCTGGTCCTCCTGCTCCTCTGGGTCTTCTCTCTGTGCTGCCATGTCTGAGAGGTCCTCACACTCAGGATGAAGGTCCATCTGATGGAGAGACGATGAGAGTCAAAGGCCTCAGAGAAGCAGTTCAGATACAACCGACCCTCGGCTAAGCCCCTCCCCCAACGCACACTGTACATTCCTACGTTAGCAACCGTAACTAGGGACCAGAGGCCTTTAGAGGGTTGATGTCACTTATGGATTAAACATGTGGAAGACTGAATCCATCAACGATCAATAAAAACTCCTTTGTTTGCTCCGAGGTAAGATGCTAATGACGTTAGCTAGCTTAGCATGACAGTCGAATATGAATTATTCTCATTAATGTGTGACAAACATAAATCTGTCACCCAGGAGATCCTTGTTTGTTCCTGGTGTGAAACAACAAGTACAACTTTGTTTACTTAAGTATTAATGAAGTACATTATTAAGTACTTCAGTAACAGTACATTAGTACAGTTAGTTATTTTAACGCTAACTAATATTTATTCCTAAACTCTGGTAGTTTTGTCGCCTGAACTTAACCAAGTATTTCATAATATTTTCCTAAATGTGCTTCTGGTGAAGACACAAGCGTATTTAGTAAAAGTCTGTATGACTGAAATGTAAACGTTGCTGGTTTGCATCCCGACATTTCACCGCCATGTTTACGTGCTGTGATGCTGAAGCTGGACAGACCTAGCAACAGTAACCAAGGGGAGGGGCTTAGCTGATGGTCAATACGACTCTTTGTCCTTTAAATCGCTCTTTGGATTCAAAGGACATTTGCAGTAAACGTGGTAAATAAATATTGGTGGTTCAAAAGGAGAAAGATGTTAGTGATGAAGTTACTTCTGAATTATCTTCATGACTTAATAAGAACAGACGATGACCCTTTGGTGAGTTCTGTCTCTGAGGACAAATGTCTCACCTCCACAGCCTCTCTGGACTCATGTGGTTCAGTGGTGGAGCTCACAGCTTTCTTCTTCCTGCGTTCAGTCATAAAACAAACAGATACACAAATAGATTGATGGACCCTTTCAAAGTAAAAGCTCAGTGAGGATGAGTTCTAGTTGTTTTACCTCGTCCACAGACAAAAGAGAAGCAGAAGAATCAGCATCACAACCAGCAGAGTCCACCTGGTGATGTGAAATATCATTGTTGTTCTATCAACACCTGGAGACACACAGTTATTAGACAAACAGCACGTTACCTCATCAGAAGGACTTGATTCATGGATAAACGTGCAGGAGATGCTGTTTGTTGATCAGACGATTCCTGTCATGGAGAAACTCACCAGACTCAGTAATCAGAAGTAAGGTGGAGTTACTACGTCCCATCTCGTTCTGGGCTTCACAGTAATAATTCCCACTGTGTTCAGCTGTGAAGTCAGTGATGGTGAAGATCTGTCCTGATGCTCGTGGTGAGTCTTCATGCTCCTTGTACCAGGTGTAGTTAGCTGCTGGGTTAGCATCAGCGCTACAGGTCAGAGTCACTGAATCGCCCTCCAGCATCTCAGCAGACCGACACACTGACACAGAGGGACGCTGTGGACCATCTGGAGGAGACGTGAATAAACATACTAAGAGGTTAGAAGATGTTAGCGTAGATAGTTGATCATTTGAATGAATACTTGTGTGTCTTTCTCTCAGACTATCTCTAGTATTCATCACAGCAGCTGTCACAGGTGAGACTCCTGCTGGTGTAAAGTGACAATAAGCAGCCTTTAATCCTTTGTAATGTTCATATCTCCACACATTCTTCTCTTTAGATGCTGCTTGTGTCCTTAACTGAGTCTGTCCTCTCACTTCTAGTTGTTGTAGGAGTTATTGATTGTTTCCTCCACCAGCTGACACGTCACTTCTACTTATGTTCTGGAATAATTCACTTGAGTCTTTATGAAAATCACATTATTCTGTCTGCTGATGGTTTATATTTGTGTTTCTATTAATAAGAGAATGACATAAATAAAGATCTGTGTCTCCTTTAACATTTAGACTCCAGTGTGTTTACAGCTGTGATTAGAATCATATTGTTGTGTCAGTGTGTGAGTGACTCTTCTACACGTAGACTGCAGGGGCCGGGGATTGAACCAGCAACCCTCTGGTCAGTGGACCACGGCTCCACCTCCTGAGGAACGTTGTGCTTCATCTTTTTGATGCCTCTAGTTTACATGCAAAAGGTCTGGTGCCTCCATGTGAGATGTTGGTGAAGCTCCACTTGACCGACACAGTGGAGTGAACTTACACACTGCAGGAGAACGTTTAC